ACAATGAAAAGGGTTGCAACGAAGTGGCCTGTAAACCACTTTGAAGTGTTTGTCTAAGATTATTGTTGTGTGGCTACCAAGTAAGCACTTATCTTTCCTTAACTGGGCAGGTACTGCTGTGGCACCACTTGTTTGCAGTGCAGTACAATACAACAAAATACAAGAATCACATGTGTGGAACTTAATGATTCTGCTAATGTAAGCTATTGTGATATGGGGTATAAAAATTTGAACAAACAAAGCTAACCTAAATTACCAACATACTGCTCAATAATTTGTGTGTGTGCAAGTAAATGTCTATACAGAATTGATATGATATGCTTCAATAAATACAGCAAAATTAGATAATTTTATGAAAAGATAATAATAATGTACAAATACTAAAGAGCCAGCAATGCAAGTAAATAATTAAGAACTTTATTAGAGACCCGTGAAATGTTTAGCAAAGTGAGTTGTTCAATAATTGGGGACAACAAGATAACTTCATAAGATTACAGTCATGTAACATCTTTAAAACCAGGTAAAAGTAATAGCATTTTGTAGGCAGTAACTTAAAAGAGTGCAACTTTGTAATAAAAACAATACTGACCTCATTTATCTTGTTCGAGAAAAATGAATGATCGCTCAGAGGTAAGTTATGATGTGTTTGACCTCTTACTGGCCTGGGCAGCTCAGTGGATTAAGTACCAGTCTTGAAAGTGCAACATTTGGGTCTTAAATGTGGAGAATGTGCTGCCTTTTGTCTGACAACTGCAAATGATTTACATTACTAGTCTTCTTGAAGAAACAGCAGGCTTTGTCTCAAGAGAAGGTTCACTGCTCAGACCCATGTGGGACTGAAAGGAGCCCCCACTGTTGTTTGTATTGAGTAGGAGGCTTTGTTTGACACTGGTAGTGTTATTGAGTAGGAGGCTTTGTTTGACACCGGTAGTGTGGTCAATCTTGAGCATGTGTGCATCTATGTGTGTGTTGCTGTGGCAAGTACACAACAACTTGCTTTATCAAATAAAAATGATGATGATCAGGTTTTCAAATAAAGTTAGTAGTATCAGTTACCAAAGGTAAAGATATGTGTTAAATGCAATAGAATCAGTCTTGCAAGGAATACCTAAGTATTTCATTGGTGACTTTATTTAGTGAGAGCTTGGCAGAATTCATTGAAAAATCCTCTCTCTATGTCCTAATGCGGTGCTTATAATCATGCAACATACTGAGTTCTGGGCTGTTTGCTTTAGTAGGCTAGTGGTTAATTGCATTTTTCAAATTGAAAATGATCTACACAGGAAATATTGTACTTGAAATGAGGTGTTTCTACCACAGTACACGAGTGACTATTTTTGTGGAAAAGACACTAATGTGTATGAAATGAAATTTGTTTACAAAGTGCATTTCCCACTCTCTTCTGGACATGACCAATGCATTCCTTCTTTTCCATTTCAATAAACTTCTTTCACCCTTGTGAAATTCTTACAGTCACTGTCACCATAAAACTGAGGGTACTTTAGGTTGTATTTGTCAACAGACCTCTGAAATATATGCTCTTCTCCCTCTGGCTCTAAGACTGGTGCTGGTCTCCAGAACTTTGTTTTACACTTAGCATGCTCAGCTCTCTCCTAGACTAAGGACTTCTTCATCAAGCGCTTTTCATGTGTCCATAGATATTGCAGTAACACAGCCATTATGTGATGAGTAACCTCTCCTTTGCCGTGTAATATCACATGAATTGCCACAAATAACTTTTCCTGCTGCAGATGAAGTTGGTTGGCTTTTGAATTTACTTAATAGCTCTTCCTCTGCCTTTTCGTTGTACAAAAGGAAAAGGACTTCTTCAAACTAAAGAATAACAGTGTATTTGGTAAAACTATAGAAAATATTTATAAAAGAGTGGATGTTAAACTTGTAACTAGTAAAGGGAGACTATAAAAATTAGCTTCAAAACCAACTTTTGTACCATCAAAAATATTCTGCAAAAATCTAGTGGCTGTGCATAAGATTAAAGAAACACTCACTCTTAATAGTCCGGCATATGTGGGAATGTGCATTCTTAATCTTTCTAGGACACTAATGTACATACATTCATACACACATACTTTATTGGCATTCCCCAGGAGGCTTTTCAATACTAAACAGCAAAGACCATTATAATAAAAAATGAATAGAATTATAAAAAGCAGTCATTAAAATAATTCTCTAGCATGTGCGTTTTCAACTTTTTTTAAAATGATGTTAAATATAGCTGTTTAAAGTCTTTGTCTAAATTGTGCCAAATGTTGACTGCCTTATGGAGGAAACGTCGCTGGCCTGACTTTGTCTTACTTGGAGGAAAATCAAGGGATTCTCTGTTTCTAGTGTTATGATAGTGAAAAGATTTGCGTCTTCGGAGAGACTCACACAAGTATGTGGGGGCCAGGCCCTTCATGCACCTAAACGTCATTACAGTGTCTCTTCAGTGGAGATGCTCATTTACTGGTAGCCATTTGACCTCGCGTAACGCAGGTGTCATGTGCCCTAGTTTCTTGGTTTTTGTGATGATTCTGCACGCGAAATTCTGAACAGCTTGAATCTTCTTGATGTTGGTGGCAGTTGTGTTTGACCAAACTGTAGAGCAATAGAAAGAGATTGAGATTTCGTTAGGAAGCCTGTACGGTAGTTGTTGTGTCGCGACCATAATACACCGAATTCATAATGGCAGATGGCTCGGGTAAGCCTCGGTACGAGTACACGAAAACGAGGCGGGTGAGGATTCGAGCAGAAAAAAATACAGAAGAGCGTGTTGTGTAATTTAAAGCGTGGTTGTACAAAGTACCTTTTTTTACCATGAATGAAAATAAATCACCACAGAATCGGTATTGCTGTATGCCACTTTGTAATCAAAAAGGAACCACCGGTCCAAACGGCGAGAAAGTTGGATTTTTTAGCATCCCGACCGATACAAGCTTGAGGGCGCAATGGCTGCACGCGATTCGAAGAGATACAGGTAAACATTTCACGATTACAGATTCTACTAAAGTCTGCTCTCTGCATTTTAAGAATGAACACCTTAAGAAGAGTTTAGTCATTGGGCGGTTAAGTTACGTAGACAGAGCAGTTCCATCAGTTTTTGAGTGGAAAAGGAGCTCACCTCGGAAGAGACCTCCGCTGACACCAAGAGGTAATTCTGCTTCGATTCAAAATAAAAAGCAGAATAAGAGGAAAGAAGGAAGTGCTCGAACATCGCTCGATATGAGTGCAGTTGCCGGTCCGTCTTCAGAATCCCTTACTATCGATGCTACTGATTCATTAAACGAGTTTTCCTTAGCAAGTAAGTCCGAAGCAGAAAGTAGCGAAACTGTAACAACAGACAATCAGCTGTCCTACGACGATCTTCGAAAAAAGCTAGCTAAAATGGAGTAGTCACTTGAAGAGAGCAGAACGAAAAATGCAAAGTTAGAAGCAGAGGTTGAAAAAGTGAGGACCCATGCTTTCAAAATTTCAGAGAAGTGTGCGAACTTAGAGAAGGGGATTTTTACAGTAGATAATTTCACCTCTGATGAAGATATTACATTTTATACTGGCTTCCCATCGTATGACGTTTTCATGGCTACGTATAATTACTTAAATCCGGGGCAAAATGGAGAAAACATTCGTTTTTGGCGTTCTGTTTCCAACGATGTTGACCCTGAATATTATGAAACAGAACCTGAACTTGGCGTTGGACCAGGGAGGCCTAGAACTTTAAATGCTAAAGAGGAGTTCTTCCTGGTAATGTGTAGATTAAGACAGGGATTTCCAGAACGCCATCTGGGGCATTTATTCGATATATCTCAATCCACAGTTAGCCGAATTGTAATTTCCTGGGTAAATTTCATGTATTTAAGGTTTGGGCAGTTAAACATATGGCCATCCCGAAAAGTGGTGAATGATAACATGCCTCAAGACTTCAAAGGCAAGTATCCAAATACTAGGGCTATAATAGATTGCACTGAAATCAAGTGTCAGATGCCAAGTAGTTTACTCCTGAACAGTGAGCTATTTAGCTCTTACAAGAACCACACAACTCTTAAAGGATTGATTGCTATTTCTCCTGCTGGTCATATCTCCTTTATAAGTCAACTCTACACAGGCAGCATATCTGATAGGGAAATAACTGAGAGAAGTGGATTTCTGGACCTCTCTTTTGAAGCTAATGATTCTGTTATGGCTGACAAAGGATTCACTATTCAGGATCTTCTACCAGTTGGTGTGTCCCTTAACATCCCCCCATTTTTAGGCAGTTCAGCTCAGATGCCTGCTGAGGATGTTGTAAAAACACAAGAAATTGCATCTCTCAGAATTCATGTTGAGAGGGCAATCAACAAAATTAAGAATTTTCACATCTGGGATGGTGTAGTCCCTCTCAGTCTATTTGGTATTGTAAACCAGATGTGGACTGTTTGTGCACATCTGTGTAATGTTCAAGATCCTATTATATCATAGAGCAATGCATGAAACTACCCTTAATTACCTGAAAGTAAACGTTTGTTGCATACATGTAATGTTGTGTCAGAAAAAAGCAGGGGCGTTGCTATAAAAAAGCATACATTATTGACAATTGAAAGAGAGGTGACCAGTCCACCTTTTAGGGATTATAATCTTGTAGGCCTTGCTTCATTATGCTGGCCCTTGTATTCTGAGACAGCAAAATTGAGAAAATGCTGGAAATAATATGCCTTGAGTTTCTGACTAATATTATCCCAGAATTCTTGGTCAAATGTTATTCTTTGGATTGACATCCCTTTGAATGTATAGACAACAAAGTCACACCAAGCAGCACCAGTTATAGCCAATTGGCCTTGTACTTGAGCATAGCACTCATGATCAGTTTTTAAACGACACTGGTCACCTACTCGTCGATGGAAAAATTTGGGATCGGCACAGGCATCTAGTGGGATGACGGCAGCTTTGCTTGATGGGCATTTGACTTCCAAAATTCCAAAAGGCTGACTGCAGCCAAAGTCAATGACTTTCCCATCAGGGGTAGCTGCAAAGACTGGCATTTCACTTGAAATTACAAGTCCACACTTGAGCACCACCACTGGTGTTTTTCTTGCATTCATGAATTTTTGGTATTCATGAATGGCAGTTGCCTCATACTTTCTTCCATGTTCAGTGTGTCTACTTGTAAACACCTTGGGGTGCATAAGTTCTTTACAAAAAGAGTCATGATTTCTTTGCCTTCTAGAAATCAGATGGAACCTTGAGGCTGTGAACCTTAATTTTCTCTCTTCCCTCCATCTCTCACTGCCAACCTGCTCTCTTGTTTCTACTTCCATTTTGTTAAGTTCATCTTCATCAACCTCAAGTGAAGATAGAAACATTCTCTCCTCTTCAGTGAGAGTGTCTGGATAAGAGCTAGGTTCATTGTCTTTAAGGGGGAATCTTGGATAGCTGTTTATATTGGCATTTGAATCAGGACTTCTTGCAACAGTACTTATATCAGTATACACAGGAAAGTTGATAACTGTTTGTAGACCCAGCGGGGCTGTTTCCATATTTGGTCTGCACCATTTCACTGGGTGTATTTGAAGCAAGGGTAGCGATACCCATTTTAGGATTGATTGCTGCAATGGCTTTTTTAAAACTCTCTTCCTCTAAAATATCATGCTTTGTTATTTTGCGGGCCTCATAGAGTTGACAGGCAACAACCTTGTCAGACTTCTCATCGTCGGGCTTAATTTTAGAGACAACTAAATCCATCACTGGCTGCGGATGAATTGAATCACCTCAACCTTTTTTATGCCAATTTTTTAACTTTGAGGTACATGCCAAAGTTGGATTTTCATCTAATTCATCCCTTAAGTCTTCAGTTGTTTTGCTCTCGAACAATGAGTATTTGCAAATTTTCAACATGATAGTAAGTGTGTGGTTACAATAACCAACTTTCCCAGCAGCACATGTGCAAGTCGCATCCATCACTTGTCCAGATATAATGCAAAGGGCAACCTGAATAGTATGAGGAGCATCGTGTTTCTTATAGCTGTGATAGCACTTGCATTTAAAATAGAAATAATGTTCTTCATCATTTGCCTCAATATCCTTTAAATATTCATCTTGAAGAAAGGTCTTGGCACGTTTCAAACTTGTGGGAACAGAATGGTGTTCCACACTTTTTACCTGAATTTTCTATATGCTTTTTCATTTCAGCTTTTGTAAACAATGGCAACTTCTCTAGAGCTTTCCCCCAACCAGTAGATGGGTATTTTACTCCGGCACTAGCCTTATTCTGGGATGAAGAATCAGGAAGCGAAATAGAGCATTCCCTGGCTTTTCGTTTCGTATAAATCTTATTTGGATCAGGGTCAACTATAAGTTGGTCTCTGCCACTTGCAATATACTCCTCAACTCTATAAGATAAAGATACAACAAAACACAGCATTCAAATAATTTCAGTTTAATTCGCTAATGTTAATATATGATGATATGTTTTTCCAGAGCAAATGAAATTTTGGTTCTTAGAATCTGCATTCGAGCGGGAAATAACAGAACATTCAATGTTTACAATAGGGGTACGTTGGAGAATTATTCGATAGAAACATACCGCTTTACGAGCTTTGCTTTTACGTTCAGGCCTTTACACGAATCACCCCTACATCGTAGCCAAAACAATAGATCAGCTTTTTTCAACTCTGCTGGTTTCCTTCCCTCAAGACTAGCTCCAGGAATATCATTTTCCGTTAGTAGAAGTGGAGCTGTAAATGTGTTTACTTGAGGTGCCGCCATATTGGAATTACAATCCTATCCTCACCCGCCTTGTTTTCATGTACTCGTACCGAGGCTTACCCGAGCCGTCCGCCATTATGAATTCGGTGTATGAACTTGGTCTTTTCAGGGTTGTTTAATAGTTGATTTCTTTAATGTATGATTTTCATTATAATTGTATTAAACAAAAGTATGGTAACAAAGCTGAATTATCATTCGCTTATTAAACACAGACAGTTTAACGTATGAAATGAAGCTGAAGATTTGTATCAATGCTTTTGGAAAGATAAAGATAAATTTGATAATGGTGAATATCCTGAAAACTCTCCATATTTTGATAAAACAAACAAGAAAGTTACTGGTAAGTTTGAAAATGAAGGTGGTGGGATTCCTCTTGTAGAATTTGTTGGCTTAAGGTCAAAAATGTGTTCCTACATAAAAGACAATAATAAAGGTGGTAAAACAGCAAAAGGAATAAAGAAAAATGTTATAAAAAAGAACGTCAAACAAGAAGACTATGTGTTAGGTAGTTATGAAATCAATAAAATCTCAGCTGCTTTGATGACAAATGCTACATCCATGAAAATGGTATAAAACGTTATGATTACAGTCATTATAGCATATAAAAATATAATACTCTTCTAATTTATTGACATCGGTATCCATTATGTGGAGAAGATGTTAACCGTCTATTTGAAATAAAACCCTTATAAAACACTATTCTTTACGTTATTCACGTATTGGTATCTATTATGCAGAGACGATATATAACTGTACTTTAGGATCCTATACAATGACAATCATTCTACAGGATCATAAGGGGAGCATCATGGTTTTGTTGCTCTTTTGTGCCTCTCCGAACAAGGTATCTTCATACACTGGCTTCTGCCTTTGTTCTTGCTTTGTCTCTCTATCCAATTCTATGTTGAATCTTCTATTAAACGACTCATCTTGTTCGTCTATCTCATTGAGAAATGCACAGTCTTGTTTGTTATTAGGCTCGATCGCTTCTTCATTGTCTTGAGGCACACAACATAGTTTTTGAACTTATCTTGATCAAGTCCAAGTTGTTTGCAAAGCAAATGATGTGACTTTGGTAGTGAGATAGCAAACCTTTCCACTTTTGGAAAAATTGTTTCCAAGGAATCAAAAACTGCCCGTAAAAATGCAAGGAGTGCTTCAAAGGCATTGTCAGATAGTGAGAAAAAAAGGTGACCAAAGGCATAGACATATAAGCATCTACCGAACAATAGCTCTTATTTGAACCAGAAGGTAATGCAAGTTTCATCCCTGTCCAATCATCCCACCACTTGACATCGCTGAAGGAGAAAATGTTGTTCTTGTTTGCCCTCTTCCTCGCAGATTGCAAATTGGGTCAAATTGTAGCTCAGGTGATAATTCACCAAGAGTGCGATACTGTGCATTAGCACAAAAAGTTTCATGACTTTCATTGCTTCTTTTTTTCTTGTGATTAGGTAATTCAACAATACTTTCTTGTGGACGGGAAGAACTTTCCTTCTCTTGAAGGTGGGAAGTGGGGTCCCTACCTTGTGCTTTCCTTTCCTTGAGCATCTATCGCCATTTTTTCAAGTAATTTTTTCTGCACTCTTTCTTGTGCTTTCCCATCTATTTAATGACTTTAACTTCCATCAATGACAACGATCGAAGAAGCCAGTATTATATCATAGTAACTACAGAAAACCCAGCCAGTTCATTGACATGAGTACGGACATTGCATGACACAATCAGACTTGATAAGGCTGTAACCACGTGAAACTGTTCGGTAAACTAAGTTTCTCAAACTCAACTAAACGATTGGGCTTGATTAACTTTGGTAGTAGTACCTAAAAATTTGTGTTCGATTTCTGAGCTTCCTGATGCTTTGCACACTAAAAGGACTCTTCAAAACCCTTGGCTATTTTGAGTGTTGGCTTAGAACAATCAATTAAGTTCTATTGGTTTAGTTGAGTTCAGAAATCGAACTTAATCGACACCCAAACACCCAATTTTTTGGTTTGATTAGCAAACTTACCGGTAATCGAACCAACCAAACTTAATTTTGACAAATCTTCTGAAATGGCAGTGCTTACTTTTAAGGCTTCTCTTTACTGTGCTGTTTTCTGGGAAATGATAGCAGTAATAATCATTCATAGCATGTGTGAGTTGTCAGTGTGTTAGATGTGCAGACCAGCGGTCCCCAGACAGTCCCAGGTTCGAGTCCCACTCTCTGTTATGTTTGTATAACTACAGATGTACCCTGCATGGCAGGCACAAGAAAGCGAGTTTATGAAATTCTTGCCAGTTTGGATTCGTAATTTCTTGTTGATGTCTTTATATTTGGATTATCTGTCTCTATTTCTAAGACATGATTGAAACTGTAATCCACATATTTACAGGGGTTTCATTAATTCTGAAAGTTGGAGGGCATGTGATGGAAAGTAGTCAGGTACCCCAAATGGCGAGGGCCAGAGGCCCAAGCTTCTAGGGAGGTCTATGTTCCTCCAGAAAATTTTGAAAAATTAGACTCCCAGGATTGCATTTTGTGTATTGTGGGAGGAAATTCTTCTTTTATCATCACACGTCATTTACCCAGTTTACAACAAAAAATTTCATTGTGCTCTTCAAGAATTTGTTTATTCTTTTGTAAGAAGTAACAAAAATAACCAGCGGTGAAAATTGCATTGAGAATTGCAGTGGGGCTATTTCCCCATCAACCGTGATCGATTCAATGCCTGTTGATGTCTCTAATTGTAGACATCCATTTGTCCATTGTAGAGAAGTCGTACATTTCAACTTGCCAGAGCATCCAGCAGGACAGCTCCTTTTTGGTAATATGCTTCATCAATACCTTAAATGAAGAATGTAAGTGAGAGTGCTTTTTCGTGGAATTTGGCCGTACATTTTAAGGCTTATATTTTCAAAACCCATGACAAAATGTAAACAAACCATAACGTATCAGTTGTGCTCATATTTCATTGATCGATTCAAACACAATGAAATTTGTAAAAGGTAAAAATTTGTTTAAAATCAGCACATTGAAACATTTACGGCAAAATAAACAACAATCATTGAGGATTTTTCGATTGTAAACTGGTTAAAAGCAAATAGTCACATGCTAAGTAGGTTAAATTTTGACAGTTTTTAGATAGACTGAGCTATTGTTAGTCGCATGAAGTTCTATTCTTCTTTCATCGCTGTGACTGTTGGAGATACTACCCTGGTGGTTCATTGTAGCTTTGTCCTGGGTGATTGTGATGTATTCAATTCCTTCACCATCTTTTGTGAAGGTAAAACTATCTCATAACACAGCTTGACCTACACCCTAAATAGACTAATTCTTAAGTTGAAAGTTAAACCAGAGATATGTGATGAGACATCACTCAAAATGTTCTCTAAAATTGCGATTCTCCATTATGCACAAGTAACTTAACTAAAATTGCTTTCTAAATTGTAGTGGATTTTCTATTCTTTATTTTAAATTAGCATGGTGCGCCTTTCGTTCATTAATTCTGAAAGTTGGAGGGCATGTGATGGAAAGTAGTCAGGTACCCCAAATGGCGAGGGCCAGAGGCCCAAGCTTCTAGGGAGGTCTATGCTCCTCCAGAAAATTTTGAAAAATTAGACTCCCAGGATTGCATTTTGTGTATTGTGGGAGGAAATTCTTCTCTTATCATCACACGTCATTTACCCAGTTTACAACAAAAAATTTCATTGTGCTCTTCAAGAATTTGTTTATTCTTTTGTAAGAAGTAACAAAAATAACCAGCGGTGAAAATTGCATTGAGAATTGCAGTGGGGCTATTTCCCCATCAACCGTAATCGATTCAATGCCTGTTGATGTCTCTAATTGTAGACATCCATTTGTCCATTGTAGAGAAGTCGTACATTTCAACTTGCCAGAGCATACAGCAGGACAGCTCCTTTTTGGTAATATGCTTCATGACGTCCTCACCGAGGGGTTTTGGACACCGAACCTGGCTAGTTGGGCAGCCTTGGCTCTTTTCAGAAGGCTTAAATCCTCTTATCTCCACTGAAAAATGCACTGTGACAGTCGAGCCATAAATGTACCATAGAGTGGATGTGAATCTGTATTGGGAGACCAAAGGGGTTCATACTAAAGCGCCACATGCTTAACAAAAACTGGCGCCCTGGTCATTAGGATATAAGAACCCAGCACACCATCAGGCTGCCTTCCAGGGGCGCGAAACCTAGAGAATGTAAACCAAAGAAAGTCAGATGTCAAATATAACTATTTTGGTACAATGAGAAGTCGACAAATACCGTGGAATGCCCAAAGGTCCCATTGTAACAGCTTGAGAAGCCATTCCGGAGTTGCACCAGGTGGAAAAAAGCATTTCCTTCTTGTTCCCCACCTCTACATTTATAAGTACAGATGCAGGATAAGTCATAACCATCATTACAAGCCTTACTATCTGCTGACAATTTTCAATATTTGCCATTTTACCAGGTGGTTGCCATCCATGATGTTTTGTGTGAACCCGGCTAACACGAAGTAGTTTGAGGAAAATCAGTCTTGATTTCGAGAAAATTTGGCAATACACTGCAAACATTTTTTCTCCAACATGGTCGATCTATTCCTTGGGTAAATATTTTGATTTTGATTTCCTGCCTCCCCTTCCCACGTTGTTGTGGGACAGTAAAGGTATTCAGAGAGTTGACCAGGCCACTGCGTCCCCAAAATCCACTAAGAGGGTCTCATCACATTACCACCTTGACTCACTGTTGGCTTAATTATCCCTGACTGTCGCTCTCAAAGAGCTGCCCTTTGGTTCACTAACGTGTAGGTTTGCAAACAAAAATGGGACAGAAATAAAATCGTCTAGCTGGAAGAGGTACACACATGTGAACATGTTTTCCTCGCTCTTTCTCTTAAATAATGTTCTATTCAAAATTTGGGAATGAACAATGTAAATTCTTACTTGAGTGAATGACAATGGATATCTCAGTATAATTATTGAAACATTATTTGATAAGAATCCACTTCTTTGTTTCTTTACAAA